ACAATAAATGCTGGAGAGGGTGTGGAGAAAAGGGAACCCTCACGTACTATTGGTGGGAATGTAGATTGATACAGTCACTATGGAGAACAGTATGGAGATTCCTTAAAAATCTAGGAATAAAACCACCACATGACCCAGCAATCCCACTCCTGGACATATACCCTGAGAAAACCATAACTGAAAAAAAAAAAAAAAATATGTACCCCAGTGTTCACTGCAGCAGTATTTACAATAGCTAGTACATGGAGGCAACCTAGATGTCCATTAACAGATGAATGGATAAAGAAATTATGGTACATATATACAATGGAATATTACTCAGCCATAAGAATGAAAGCATTTGAGTCAGTTCTAGTGAGGTACATGAACCTAGAGCCTGTTATACAGAGAGAAGTCAGAAAAAACAAAATTTCATATATTAACACACATATATGGAATCTAGAAATATAGTGCTGACAAACCTATTTTCAGGGCTGGAATAGAGACACAGACAGAGACAGCAGGCTTTGGACACAGCCGGGTAAGGAGGCGAGGGGGCAGGTGAGAGAGTAGCACGGAAACACGTGCATTGTCGGACGTAGAACAGACAGCTAGTGGGAAGCTGCTGTGTAACATAGGGAGCTGAAGGGGGGGTTCGGTGACATCCTGGAGGGGTGGGATGGGGTGAGGGAGGCTCCGGAGGGAGGGGACACATGTGTACTTCTGGCTGATTCATGCTGTTGTATGGAAGTAACCAACATGATATTGTAAAAAAATTACCCTCCAATTAAACATAAATTTTAAAAAAAATCCTAAAACAAAAGCAACTTTTAAGTTTGAGATTCTGTGTACAAAATAGAAAACAAAATACAAATAAAAAAATATTAGAATTCTCTAATCTATAATCAAAATAGAAATTTCACAGAACAAGTTTATTTGGACCACAGGTGCATGTGTTGGCTTCTATTAAAATTCCTAATTTCTTTCTACCTCAGTACGTGTTTGGCCTGAAAGATGATAGTGGAACTTTCAGAAAGGCCTTGTGCTGGGAACAGAATAATTCATATCATTCACCAGGATCAAGACTCAATCTAACACGGTTTGAACAGGGAAGATTATTCCTCCTTTTTTTTTTATAGTGATAACTGTCCCAAATGCTAAGAAAATGCTAAGCTTTTAGCCTGTGCACATTCCTACACAGAATTACATTTAACAGCCAATATGGCACCAAAAGGCATCCCCTTATAAATGTTTTACCCCAGCAATAAGAAAAGTCTGTCTTACCTCCAGCCTGCGCTGCTTCTCAGGATCCTCCTCATTCATGATTCGCTCCTTCTCGGCTCTCTTCTTCTCCTCCCGCCGAGACTGGGCTGCTTCCTGTCTCTGCACATGTGTCAGCTTCAAGAAGTTCTCCTCCACTCGAGCTCGGTTCTTGTCTGCTTTTTGTTTGCCCTTTCCCCAGGAAACAAAGCAATTAATCAGAAATCCGTTTCAGTCCAGCAGAAACAAAATCCCATTCAGTATTCTTTCATAAAACCACTCCCACTGAGCAGTTTCAAGCCAGCAAGCAAAGATAAAATCACTGCAGTAAGCAAAAGATGAGCCCCTCCTCCCCGCTGCCCCTCAACAGGGGGAGGGAAACAACAAAAAGAGGCTCCAACTTATAATAAAAATAAAGTCTTACTTCTCTGTTGAGTCGGAACTTTTTGGCTTTATCAATAGAATAAATCACCATGTTCATCAGGGGTAGTAAAGCCTCCATATCCTTTGGGTAAGTGTTACCTGAGCCAGGCACTGGAAAACAAAACCATTTTCTCATTGAGTTAATGGCAGCACTCAGACTTCTGCTATTAACTTTTTATTTTTACATTAATAGGCTCCTTTCTCCAAGTTTCTTAGCTAAAATGCAGCAGCAAATAGAAATTAAAATATATACAAGGATCTCTTATTGAAGAAACCTAATACCAAGATGCTGGCATGGGCTTAGTTTTAATGTAGTTTTTTACTCCTATCTTTTAGAAAGAAGCCATACTCTCCTTAAAAGCATCTCACAGAAAACAAAGAACTCAGGAAGCAGAACACTTACCATTAAATGTAAACAGTAGTGTCCTCTTAGTGTCAGGCAGCTTTAAAGGCTGACCCTCCCTGTCATAAAAGAAAAGGTTATTTAGAAAGAACATAAGAGAGAGACTTTCCATGCACGTAAGTCACACAATTCACTTAGATGAACAGATACCTGCAAATAATCAGCACAGTATTTGTCTTGGCATCCCCAAGTCAAATACAATCTCAGAGACCGAAGGAGCTTTACAGGTCATCTGGTCCTCTCGTCTATCTGATGCATGCATTCCCAAGTGATCTTTATCCTATCTTTGAGCACCTCCAGTGATGTCCACTCCAGGCAGGATATATTTCATCTCACCGGGAGCCAGAAATGAGCCTATATTTAAGTATGAGGCCCATATTTTAAAACCTTTTTATTTTGGTGGATTTTTAAGTTTTATTTCCAACTCTTTATCTATCTTCCTATAATGAAGGTTATTGTTTTTGAGTCAAGATCAGAATAAATTTAGAAATAATCTACTGTAGCATATAATAATTCAGTTCTGACTCACCAAAGATTCCTCTTGTAATCTTTGACTTTCAACCTTCCATACCCTCACCCCATATAAGATGCTCCATGAATCCGCAATGGATACTTTGCCCACAGTATTATTACTTAGCTGAGCAAGGTAAGGATGATGTAATGCTATCTAGAGGCATAAGCAATTTTAATTATCTTGGTGATTTTGACACAAAACTAAAATCCAAACTGGCTTTTTTAACTGTACTCAACTCCACAGTCCTTAGCCAAAAATTGAGGTCAGAACCAATTCTACAACAACGGTAAACTTAAATGTGCTCTCCTGAGACCGGGTGTGAAATCAAACAACTAATTTAAGTCCTAAATATGTATGTCTGAACAATGTTTTTATAAAGCCAGAAACTTTACAAGCATTAAGGGTGTCTGATAATATACTAGTAAGAATATATTCACCCAACCATTAAAGAAGGAAGCCTGAAAAGGCCATGAATTACAAAATGCTTACATTTGCAATCAATCAAACACAAGTCAGACATCACAGATTCACATCAGAAATTTTAAAAAAAAGACCCTAGACTATAAAAGACAGAAATTACTAGTTGTACTTTCTTAGTACCAGCCAGTCTGTAAGATTACCTCACTGAGGGGGTGATGCATACATGCAGTGACACATGCAAACAGAGGGGTCTTATTTGATTGTTTCCCATAGGTTTTCAATTACCTTCACGATGCATGCAGTCAAAGCAAAGGAAAACTCATTTGGGAAGAAGGGTAATTGCAGAAGCACCTTGCAGGTATTTCAACACAGAAAGCTAGTGAAGAAAACTGATCAATATTTTTATCTCATACGTACTCTTGCATAATTTTTGGACCAGAGAACTGGTCTGAAAAATGAATGGATTCAATCTTGTCAGCATAGTGTGTAAGAAAGTGAAGCATCTGAAATAAAGAAAA